GAGGAAGTAGGAGGGGAGCTGTTGCATTGTGGTAAACTGTGGTCAATGACATGAGACAAAGTATGTATGAACTGCTATATGGAAAGTGAATTTGCTCTGTAAACCTTCACCCAAATCACAATTAAAAAAAAAGAAAAAAAGAGATGTTATCTTAAAAAAAATTATGGTAAAAGTCAAGAAATGGATGATTCATTCAACAAATACTTGAGCTTATTCTCTGGAAGCAGTGTTCTAGGTCTCTGACATTTGAATCTTCTTTCTATTTGTCTATTAGCTGAATTCAAATCAAAATATCTTTCTTGTGATCTGTAAACCTTGTCACAAAAGCTTTTATAATTTTCTATACAGATGTTGCCGAAATCGCTGACGAAGTTTATATGGAAGTAATCGTAGGTGAGGAGGATGCTGCTGCTGCAGCAGCGGCAGCAGCCGCTGCACATGAACAGCAGATGGACGACAGTGAAATCAAAACCTTCATGCCAATAGCATGGGCTGCTGCTTACGGTGAGTCATAGAGCAACTCTCAGGCTTGTGTTGGTTGGTCCTTCAATATGAATTCATGATTTAAAAACTGTTTCTGTGGTCTTAGGTTTCAGAAATCTGAAATACCATGACCCTGTAAGGGTTATTGGATTTAAACAAGAGTAGAGGAGGATTATAAAGTCTACTTTTTGTCTTTAATTTTAACAGACATTTCCTTCATGTGTATATTATGTAGAAGGAATTACTGCAAGAAGTACATAGGCTTTCAAGCTGAAACTTTTCATCTTGATTATATCTGGCCCATGACTTTACAATTTTGGGAGCCAACAAGGGAGTCCATGGGGCAAAATGCTGACATGTGGTTTTTAGATTTAGAAGCTAGGCATTTGCTACAATCGTGCTTTAAATGTGTTCGTGAAACCTGTTACCTAGAATGGGGAATTTCTGTCATTCATGAGTATCATGGCTTATTTTTGTTATAGTTAATAAAGAATCCCTAATTCTTTATCATTTATAATACTGTATAATTTTGTTTTCTAATGCGCATTGTTAGGTAATAATTCTGATGGAATTGAAAACCGGAATGGCACTGCAAGTGCCCTCTTGCACATAGATGAGTCTGCTGGGCTCGGCAGGCTGGCTAAACAAAAACCAAAGAAAAGGAGAAGACCTGATTCCAGGCAGTACCAAACAGGTGAGGGCACATGAGTTCCACCGCGCAGCATCCTCTGCCAGCTCCCAGATTGAACTCCAGTATGTATCCCCAGAGGTGT